GAACAAATGCTGGTACAGAGCGCGTAGAGACATATGCTTGCAGAGGAACTGTATAGCCTGGCAGCCGCCAACCTTGGCATACCAGGGGCGATCGTAGCACAAGGCGGTCATTCTCTCTGCCAAGTATTGCATTAGGGGCAGCTTGCAAGCTCTGTCTTTATTTCCCATTATATTTGCAGCAGTGTCCAGTATTATTCCCATGCAAGCTATGCCGGGTTTGCACAATTCCTTTTCTTCGTGCCCCATGCAAGCGGCCAGCGCATCGATTAACACCATGGGATCTATGCCGTTCGACATGAAATTCTTTTGTGGGAATGGTCCCGCCTGTTGAGCAATCGCCACCATGGTATAGTGCCTGACAACGGCTGCCATAACAGGACACACTGAGTCCCGCAAGTCTTTCGTGGCTGAGGCAACCAACATGCCAATAAGAGCTGTTAGATGAGTTCCACGCACGCTCGACGTTTCTATTTTGTTGTGGAATATGGGCCAATTCATAATGTTGCTTTCCACAAAGTCATTGTGTGTGAATAACTTTAGCAGTGTATGTTTTTCATCGTCTAGACTAATAAAGGCAGCTAGAAAACATCGGATTACTTCCCAACTTTGACGTCTATAAAATTGATCGGTGGTGTTTGAGCTCAATGCTTTGAAGGCCGACTCAATGGCATGCTCAACGGGAAACTCAATTGGTTTCTCATATTCTTGGAAGTATGTAATTATTGAGATCTTCGGCTTTTGGCTATGATCGTAATGCAATGTTTGTGGCTCTACCATCATTTTCCGGTTGCCTCCACCAAATTTACCAAGCACACGAAAAGCAACAAGCGCAGCATTGTCTTGGTTTCTTAGCGTTTTCCATAGAGCTTGCATCAAAGCTGCCCTTACTGGTTGTATATGGTCGTACAAAAAGTCTGGTTGCAAATTGTCGACGCACAGCTCCAAAGTCCTTAACCCCTGGAAATAAATTGGATTTCACTAATAGCTTTATATAATTTAATTATTTAGCTTTACCTGATTTATGAGAGTAGGTGAACCGTTCAAGGCTGAAACCAATGGATCCATGAGCATGGGGAGATATGGCAGCAATGATGAGAGACGCACAGGTACAGTCAAACAGAGTTCAACGAAAAGATCCCGCATGTGTTGTTTGTGGAATCCGCTTTGTAAGCGATTCAATCCTTCTAGTAAATTGGGTAATAGCGGCAGGAATTCTTGATAGAGCAGATCATGACTGCCACCACCAATTGATCTGAACAAAGCCCGTAGCAGTAGAAAATAGTTGTAGGGCTCATCTGAAATTAACGCCAACTCCATTGAACGTATAACAATTTTGTGCAGATGTGGCCGCAGCATTTGTTCATTTTCCACAGGAAACAGGCTAACGCTGCCAAAGACGAGCTTAAACAAGCGGAGATATAAGTTTGATCGCTCGACATTTGAGCCCATTTCCTCCATTTTATCCAGAAGGTACTCAACCAACACAGTAGCAAAGAGCGGTGAAGTGGTTGGATTCGCTAAAAATGAGTTCGCTATAACTTGTAGAGCCTGATTTTTATAGATACGCTCCACCAAAAAATCAATTGTGGTTGCAAATATTTCCTGGAAGTTCTGCGAGTGCATCATGAGAAACTGAAAGGAATTTCAATTGAAAAATGCGTAATAAGCAAATAGTAATATCCATCGATTTCTATAAAATATTTACAATGCCACTGAAATGCTCTAGAACTTCCTTTTCCTCTTTGCTCCGTGAAATCAGCCCAGATGCTCGTTGTTGATTAGGATTTACATTAATGGTATATATATCTAAAGCTTCCATTGCAAAATGCACCAAGTCAATGTAGGTGCACAATATCTCAGGACTGAACAACTTTTCCTGCATTTGCATGTTGGATTCGGAGACATGAGTCTATAATAAAAAAAATAAGATTATTAGTTGAACTTCATAAAAATCTATTTAAATAATCATACCTTTGAATTGAAAAATCCCCAAGTAATTGTTTTAACGCCCCCAACGAGTGTTTTCACCAAACTTCGAAATTCAGCTACATTCACAGAACAAATCAATTGTGAGCCAGTCGTTGCTTTCGACTGATCGCTGACCAGCTGATCCTTAAATGTGAAATAGGGAAAGGAATATGAATAACATAAGATCAAAATATAATACAAATATACTCATCGAGAGTCACTTACATCTTTAATCTCTGCTAAAGGAAGAACGGGTAAGTTAAAGGAACCAATAGGGTTCGCAGCTCCACCTGCTGGAGGTTGGCCCTTGCTGATTATACAAAAAGAATTTGCATGAATATCACAAGCAAATACTAAATAAATATAAAGACATACCACTTTTGAATTATTAGAGGTAGCTGAATTTGAGCGATAGTTTCAAACTTCTTCACGAATACTTTCAACAGCGTCCCTAGAACATTTCTGGAACGCACTGGTTCCACTTCACTGTGGTGCCGCAAGCAATCGACTAGATTCAGCAGAAGCTTACATGACATAGTCTGTATGCCAATAGCAAGTGTCTCATCGTGTATATTTCGAGCAAACAAATTTACTGCCTTGATTAGGACATCTAAGCTTAAGCTTTGACGGACATGATGTGCCAGATCAGCCAATGTAGAATACGCTAATGGGCGAATGGAATCCAATGTGACGCCTTTGCCGATTAGTAAATCTTCATCAAACAGCTTTTCAATTGATGGTATGAATTCTAAAAGAACAAAACAGCTGTCAAAATAGGGTCTGTGTTGAGGAAGAAGCAAAACAGACTTACTTTGTCTTAAATCCGTTGCAAATATATGACGCGCAGCAATTAATAGTTCTTTGCGTAAATGAGCTGCTTCCTTGGGACAATTTTCCATCAAATTCAACATGCCATTTGAAACAGACAATGAGTTTGCAACGACAATATCCTGAAATATAATGTTTATATAAAAATAAATGTAACAGCACCGTTAATAAGATAAACTCACTTGATATATTCGCACAATATAAGCCAAAAATGAAAGTGTTTTTACTTGTGCTCCCATGAAGTCAACGAAAACTTCTTTCTGTGTTGAATTTCTAGAGAAATATAAGTATTATTAATTTGCATAATTTGTATTTTATTGAAACTTACCTTTGAAGTGCAGTTGGCTGCAAATTTATAGTTGTAAGTATTAAAGGAATGAATTCAGCGACCTCCTGATGGACCGCATTTTTATATATTTGATACATCAATACTACGATAATTGGCAGCTCTTGCAGAACTTTTAAGGATAATATACCGCGAGGTAGAAGATTATACTGAAAGATAAACAAATTAATAAAGCAAATTCTCAGATTGGTTATATAAAAGCAGTATATACAATCATTTGCTGTGAATTGTGCTCCATTGACTTCTCTACATGTATCGTTTTAACTGAATATGTCTCTGGCAAAAGCATTTCCAAGTCCAGGTCTTTTAAATCGCTTATCCAAATGTCATTTGATGTTTCAAATATTGCTGTTAGATTATTTGGAAGATTTGTATAAATTTCCTTAACAAATCCTAAAAAGAGTTGAATCTATAAAAAAAAACATAATTAAGTAAGGAAGTATTCAGTTTAAGCAAAAGCTCATACCTCAGGATTGAAAGATGGACGGAAATGTTTGTGCAGCTCAATTATTATACGAAGACTGATTAACACATTCTCTTCATTGTCAGTTTTTAATAATTTCAGCATCATTGTTATAATTGACTTAACATGCTGCCTCAGATTCTCTGTTATGGGCAGTCGATGTATCATCTCAAGTATAAGTTTACGAATCTGTAAAGTATAGAAAATATTGTATTAATAAAAGATATTGAATATTATGATGAAATGATATCTTCTTCCTTCGCAACAGGTTTAAGGGGACGACCAAGACACTCACGATTACTAATTAATATTGTGGGCATTCAATTTTAAATGAAACTTGACACATATACCACTGTTACACTCATTTCCCCTCTAGATCTTTCGGATTAAAGAATCCTGCCATTACAGTAAATTACAACACAATACAAATGTTTGTACATAAATATGTATACCCCCATACACACACACAGGCATACATGCACACTTATGAAAATGTGCTGTATTCCAAAGCGAGGAAAATACTTACGTGCTGAATAGTGTTTTCTTGAATAAATTGAGGCTCCCCCTCTTGTAATATACGCATAAATATCTTAAGTGCATTTTCCAAAAATGAGGGATAGCTCGGAGATTGCATTATCATTTCGAAATGCTCGCTCAACTCCTGAGTGGCTTTCAGCTTGATGTCCTCGCTTGCCGACGGATCATTTAATATGCTAAGGTAATTCCGGAAATTGTTAACCGGATTATTTTCCCCGTGTGCCATTTTAAGTGACCATTAATATTATTTTGCAACAAACGAAGTGACTTTACCGGTGTAAACAAGCGAAATGTGTGAATTTTATGCACAGGGCGACTCGAGTAAAGCTCAAGATAGCGTCACCATAAAACGCCTAGGTACAGAGCTGCTGAGTGTTTCGATTACGATAATTTTCTTACATACACTGATGTATCGCACTGAAGCATTTAATTGGAATTAAATAAAAGAAAATGCAATTTATTTAAACCAACTCAGTTTATTCATTAAAAGCAGAACAATTTGCATTTTTTTATATAAGTGAAATCCTCTTTAAAAGTAATAAAATACCTCATAATATTATCGAAGATGCTGAGATTGTTGATTTCTCTTCTCAGAGACATAAATAAATTAAGAAAATAATTAATATTAATTAGGTTTTTATATAATTTGATAGTATATGTACTAATTAAATGATATGAATTAACTAGTAAATATATTCAATTATGCCTATCAAGGTTAATAAATGTTAAGTGTTCCATTCAGCTGTTTCAATCACGTATGTTGCTTGTTTGTAGTTTTGACATAATTTTCGTCGAATTAATAGTGCACTCTTGCAAAACCGATAATTAGTAGCAAATAAAATTCTTTTGTGAACTAATAAATTATACATCGAGAATAAATAACTTGTAAGTGGCATGGCAAAGCAAGTAAAATAATGCCTCTAGTGTATTTGGAAATCTATGGTGCTATAAACATTGTTAAAACATGATAATCGCGTGTGTTTCAGTATTTTTAATTAAAACTTGAGACCTATTGGAACTCACATACTTATGTATTTACATACATATATATATCTTTGAGTATGTACATACAAACACGTAGAGATCGTTGAAACTGTTTAAAGAAATACAACAAATATGAATGTAATGATTCATTTTAGTTAAAGAAAATAAATAAGTGAAAAACAGTTTGGAATTTAATTGCATGTGTCATTGCCATAAGCACGAGAGCTGTCTAAATATTATTAAGCAAGAAAATGCCGTGCGCTAAGTTTGTAGCTGGTTACTATAAAAAAAAACCACCAAGCAAACCGCATACAATAAGTGTAAAGCTAAATTTTAACATTCTGCAGTGTCGTATGGACAAGAAATTATAAAATTTGAGAAAAAACGCTTGTTTTTGTCTAACACATATACTTTAGTATAATATTGTATTCGGTATAAGGCATATGCTGCTTTTACCTTCACATATAAATAATTATAGCCTGTTTTCGCATTCAATAAGTCTTTGGTGTCTCGCAATTTATGCTCGGCTTTAGATTTATGTATCTGTTATTGTTGAGTTCGTACTTTGTTTATACAGAGCCACCTGTGTTGATATATGAACATATTTAAACACGTCAATTACCGGCAAAATGAAAAATATTATTAACAATGAATTAGGTTAAATTAAAATCGACAATAATAATAACCTAATACGAATTATTCAGAGATTATAAGAAATGAAGACGGACAATGTTTTTCATTTTGCAAAAAATAAAATATATATATAAGTATGTATATACAATAAACTCGTCATTGGATATCGTTGGGTGACATGAATGACGTTAGGTGTACTGTAAAATATAAGGTTATATATAAATGTATTTCTAATGAGCTGATTCGATCAGGGCCAGTCCATAGGTATGATCCCTCTGATTTATTTTAATATATATATAATCTGTAATAAATGAGCTTTAAATATTTCACTTATACCTTAATGACCTATTTACATCTATGCACCTGCAAATTTCATCTATTTACACGCTTAGAAATGTTATCTTTTATTTAAATTCTCAGGTAAAGAAAAACATAAGCAAAATGAGGGAATCCGCACATGAAATCAGTATGGATACCTGGAAGCAGTGGATACTTGACGCAATATCCAAAATTCGGTCTCAAAAGCAAAGACCGAGCGTTCAGAGAATATGTCAGGCTATTGGTACACATCACAAGTTCCATGAAGATATTGTGGCTGAAAAGTTGGAGAAAGCCGTTGAGTCTGGCTCCGTTATTAAAGTATACAATAAAGGATTACATTCATATAAAGCGCCGATGGCGAAAAGGCGAATAAAAGTCGATAAGACAACAAATCTTTACAAAGTGGTAGCAAAAGCTGTAAATGATTTGGGAGAATGCGAAGGATCGACAATCAAAAATATAGAAAACTATATTCAAAAATTTAATTGCATTGATCTTTCGCCCAATGTTGATTTCAAAGCTGTAATTAAAGCATCCATAAAGAAAGCCGTCGACACTGGCTTCCTAATACAGGAGGGAAAGTTATACAAGAAGGGTAAATCGCTAACAACGCCCCGCAAATCTGCACCAGAAACTGAAATACTTATCAAAGGCGAAGAAACCTGTACACATTGCTCCGGAAATTCACAGAAAAATCTTAATGGCATTCCAGAACCGCTAAGTTCCTGCAAACAATGTGGAATATCATTGCACACGACATGTGCAAACATTGCCGGCAAATGCAAATCACAATCCTATGTGCTGCTCTATATGCTTGTGACTAAAGGATCTTTATGGAAATGTCAGAAATGTGCTGATTGCGTTGTCTGTAAAATGCGCAATCGCGGCCCGTGTCTTTTGCAGTGTTTTGCGTGCAAAAACCATTTCCATCTAACGTGCCTCGATACGATACCAGACAAAAAACCCAAGCATCCATATCGGTAAGTTAACAGATAACAAATATATTATA